GTGAGTGCTACAGGACGGACCAGCCAGCACGTAGTAACAACTTCGATACTCAATTGCGGAATTTTCTCCGACGGAACACCGATTGGTATCAGAGCCAACAAGTTGACTAACTATTAATAGCAAGATTTTTCACCGAATCATACTTTAATCTGGAATAATTCTGATTTTTAAGTGGAATGATAACTCTGAAACCACCGGGAAAATACCCTCTGCATTTGCTGTTTCAAAGCGAACAGCAGGACGCTACGGGAGATATGAAGGGGCCCCTCCCGCGGGGAGTTCAGGCCACTTCGTTAGGGTTAGGGTAGAAATATCTGCCTCCTAACAGATATGAGCCCCAAGTGTGTTTAGTTTAACTCTCATGCTCGACTGAGTGCCCAGACGTTGCCGCGCTGAACGTCTGACGGCCCTCGAAGTAGACAATGGCCGGTAATGCATACCGAGATCTGAAGCTCTTCACCTACGGATCTGTGGATTCGAGAGGGAGCTCCTAGATGGCGAAATTGTGAAATCACTTCAGCTGCCTCAATGACGAGGTCAATAACAAATACAAAAATATAATAACAGAAGGATGAGATATAACAGTTCTTGGTTTTGATTTGTTGGAACAAGTTTTACAAGCCTAAAAATCTGTGTCAAGACAAAGAAGAAATAGAAGAGAGAAGCAAAAGCAAAGAACGAAGCAGACATAAAGAGGAAACTACACTAAGGAAGATAGGAAGACAAAGGAAGATGATGAAAAATAAAGAAGGAAGGTAAAAATGAAGGAAAATAAATAATAGAATAGAGGAAGAAAAATCGGATCTTTGCGAGGTGTCAACCATAATTTTCGCAATTTAATCTTGGCGCTGTAGAAAGATTCGGTTTTCGTACGAATCTATTGTACGGATTTTCAGTAAATCCTTATGAAGACAAACTGTAGCACTCCGTTGACGTGAGATAAGAGCACTGTAGGGCGCATACCATCGAACAACATTCCACAGAGGCTAAAGCAAATCCAAGCTCAATTCAAACTCAAGGTCTCTGAAGTGTTTGGACGGGTTAAGGCTACATGACCACTTGGGTCGATAAATTGGTGCCCAGGATGTGAGCAGGAGCTGTTGAGAAGGCCGTAACATCGCACGTGTGCGCACTGGTTAACAAAAAATGTAAAAATGCTTTGCGAGAAATAGTCATCATTTTTTTTCTTTCTCAGTGGGGTTTTGAAACTTGGTATCCGCTTCGTAGATTCACGGTTGACCAATGTGAATAGGAGACCCTCGGTTTCCGCAAATCTGTTTCAACAGCGATGGTCACAGTCAGCTGAAATAATATTTCCCAGCATCAAAATGTTAATACATGCAGATTGCCCTGCATTTTAATTATGCTATTTCAAATTGAATATCTCTGTAGAGGCTTTGATATGAAGGAACGTCATGCGCCAGTGAACAGGCGTACGAAATATGTACTGGGAGCGGAGCAGAGAGGAGAGAGGCCAGCTAATTTTTTCCTGGATCCTTCTCCCCATCAGCACACACACCAACACACACACACACACACGGACATGGTAGTCATGTCAGAAAAGTTCTGCAGAGCCCTCTGAAACTTCAGTGAAATGCAAGGCCAAATGTAGGCGAGGCTATGCTTCATTAAAACAAGAAATTTTGGGCGTAAATTAAATGATGCACGTTATAGAACCTCTGTGGCCAGGACAGCAGGAACGGTAATAATTAGAGCCTACACGTAAATGATTTTTCCGCATAATTCCTATAGTAAAGATTCCGAGCATTTTAAACTTGTGAGATTAATCTCAAAGTTGGAAACGTTAGCGCGTCTTCAATTGTTAACATAAAATATTTCATGCAGGTTTTGTAGCTACGTGTAGAATCTGTTTCTGTACAAAACTTCCATTGGTTATCACGTTCAAACTGGAAGCGTGATTTAGGTATCTTTGCAGCAGCCATGTTGTTGTTTTACATTACAAATATTAACAGAAAATGTATATATTTAAAAGACCTTTACATGCAATACGGAAATTCCACACTTCCTTTCGAAGTTCGTACGGCCATCATGATGGTATTACTGACGGTAAAAGGTAAAATTGGCATGTACTGCCTTCGCTCGCTTGAAAACCGCTATCATGGGTTCGAATCCCACTCAGGGCATGGATGTTAATTTGTGTGTTTGCGTTTTTCTGTGTTTGTATAGAGGTAGAGGTCTTGCGACGAGCTGATCACCCGCCCAAGGAGTCCTGCCGAAGGTGTAAGATCTAGAAAAACCGAAGTGAACGGAGAAGTTCATGGAGGTAAGCCTAGGCCCACTGGGGCTGTAGTGCCAAGGAAAAAGAAACAAGTAAAATTGTCCCTATGCTTAACTAATTAAGCAGTACTCCATGAAGACGTATGTGGGAGTGGATATATAGACTCACGTTTTCTTGACCTCTGCACTAGTTGGAGGTGCGTGGTCAGCTTCACGCCTCGGCCGCTTTACTCCTGGGAAAAGGTCCCCGGTACCCATTGGATAAGAGGCTGGGTGGGCCCAAGAGCCGGTCTGGACCAAATGGAAAATTGAAAATTCTTGCCTTCACCGGGAATCGAAATCAGACTCCTCGGTCGTCCGGCTCGTAGTCAGTCGCTATCCCGGCTCCTGTATTACGGTATGTAATTAAAATATATGGTGCAATAATACCTCTGGTGGTATGAGCTACAAAGATTGGTGAAAATTCGTCAGGTGGTTCAAACATTTCTAGGGGTAGCAGACACACACTGACGATGATGAGGAATTGTTGGTACCATAAGCTTCTGTCTCCTTATGGAGTGTGTATAGCAGGTGACTGAATGAAATTCTTTTTTTTTACAATTTTACGTTCTGCGTCGTGTCTGATCACGAGAGAACCAAATAAATTACTCGTTACATTTGATATACGAATTTTGACTCTAAACTATAGTCTCCTCTGGGACATGACACCATGTTGTCTGGTATAATATTACCGCTGATGGTTTTTTTCTTTCCAGAAAACGTAGCCAGAACATTCATCCGAAATGTGTATAAATTTCTGGCAGACTATACGGCGTCACATCCCAGAAAATTAGTATCTTCACGAAGCACGCATTTTGAAGCAGAGTTTAACTGCAACTTTGTTCAGAGTCCAGCCAAGTGACGACTGATAGGAGCTAAATTACGTATGCGCCCCGCGGTATTCGTTAATTGTGTTGCATATCAAAAATGTTTCAAGTATTAGTTACAGAAATAAAAGTGATGTAAGTGTTCTTTATGTCCCGTGCTGATGCCTGGACATTGAATCATATTGTAATATGTCAAACCGTTATTGGGCAACGGTAAGACGCGACAATATATTGACTTTTCGAGAATCTTTATAAATTTCAGTTTCAGCTTCTTGTAAAATATTGGTCATGGTGAACCAATGAAGACAGAAGACAGAACCATATTTCTTAATGGATAGAAGCATGGACATGATTTTACCATTACTTATTGTTTATGTCGATGCAGTTTTCTCAGAGATGCGTGAATGAAAACGATGACTGGATTCGTACTTCGGGTTCGTAACGCTATCAGTGGGGATGATGAGATCAACATGCAGGTATTTGTAAATCTGAACGTTAATTTCTTATTTCCGGTGTATCGGGCGCGCCCCGGGCTACCGGGGTGACATGCAGAAATGCTTTGCTAGGGGAGCACCTCCTTAAGAGGGAAGGGGGTGGGGCCGTTGTTGAAAGCAAGGCTGGGAAACTGCACACCCGGCGTTAATATTCTGTGATGACAGTTTCGAAAACATGGCGCCTCATATGACATGCAGAAAAGTGGTTGTGAGATGAACGTAAACCCATATCAGACAGACAGCACGAAATTTCCCGTGATACCGACAGTTCAAACTGATGCTCTTCGGAGTTTTATCCAATCTTTACAGGTAAATGTAAGGACAATACTGTGACGTGTATATCAGTTACTAGGCAACGGATCAATAAACAAATTCACGTAACATTCGCACACACGACAATAGAAGAACATCTGTTACTAGGCAACGGCGAGGTAAACATGTCTCCTCAACAATACAGGCGGTGTTTTCCTGGAGTCCATATCGAGGGGTTATAAAGGGGCAAAGAAGGTCGCTCGAGGAGTAGACGCTGTGTGTTCGGGTAGAACAGACAGTAGTAGTCCAGTCGAGAACTTGGTCGAGTTCTGGAGATGGCAGTCGAAGGTGAAGGTGGTTGAGAATAAATGGCAAGAGAGGAATTAGACTGTACCAAGAAGACTTCATGTGTGATTTTAAGTGACAGTGAAACTGTGATAAATCCGTTGCCAGGATACGACTAGTGAAGAATGAGAACCCTAGTGCGTGTGCGACTGTGAACAGGAAAGTATGCAGAATAGCGATAGCGCTGTATTGACTGTAGTACCTAAGTGCGTGAATATATAAGGTGCAGTAAATCCAATCGTTCAATCCGAAACCTGTCTATAAGTCACCCAAAATCGTGATAACACCTTAAAACAATCTATGTCCACTTCTTCCCATATATACAATTCATAACCATTGTTATATAAAGTGCGTAGTTCTGAAATGGTTTACGTAACGCAAGACTCTAACAGTCATATATTTCGGCAGCCTGAGGAATTTCCCACGCAATTTCCCTGTTTCTAGCAGCTGAACAACGGGCAATCAGTAAATAAAATACAGGCAATGCAGTACCTAGATTGGGATATAGATTAGTAGCAGAAATATTGGAAATTGTAGAAATAATGTTAGTAGAAGCATACATTAGCAGTTCAGAATTTCTCAACACTTACCTTATAACCGTTAGCTCATTGTAAACTTAGGCATTCCGCTTCTTATGCCCAAAAATTTGTATATGTTTATACACACGAAATACATGAAAGTTTTGATTTGGAAGGAGTTTTAGGAACTTCGCATCCGAGTACTAACAGAATCAGCCTTCAACAGAAGAAGTAATGTGTCGAACCGAACGTGGCAGGGTAGTTATTGGTACTGTTTCTTGTTCCAGGAATTCGTTGCTCGAACTTCGGTCCAAACGCTAACTGCTCTCACATTCGACGCTCTGCATGCTGCAACTTCGACCAGAATCTTCAAAGTTCTTCTTTGCCTTCAACATTTTAATATGTAAGTGTTTGTAAATAGACCTATTAATAGTTATATTTGTAATTTATCATTGGTGGTATTACCCCGAAGGCCGTGGGTTTCTTACCACAAACTTTCATTTCGCTAACACTTTACTTGTTAATCATGAAATATGTTGAAGAAAGTCGTTTTCTGGGTTTTGGCGCCGTGTATTCTTCGCTTTGGCCGAAGAGCTACTGCTCTCTGCGTTCACAAGCCATTCACCTGCTCTGAAGATGGAGGCGATGCGTTCCTCCGAAACGTCGGCCAAAACGAAGAATACACGGCGCCAAAACCCAGAAGACGACTTTCTTCATAGTCATCGCCGTGAAAACCTCAAAACTTACATCAGATATGTTGTTTAGAAATACTAGTTGTTCTGTTCTACGTGTCTCTGGTTTTCACTAGATAAGTTAAAAACGCCTCTCTTTCTTCCGTAAAGTGTTTAGGCTCCTTGTGGTTCTCCAACAAACATTATACAGGACTTCGCCATGGAAATAAATTAACAGAAAGTTTATTTTACGAAAACTTGAACATTTGAAGAGTTAATACGTTACTTCATGAGTACTAAATGGAGGGCAAGGTGCAAATATTGCTGCATGCAACGTTCTCTATGGCAGGGATACCTTACATACTTAATAGTGTGTGATAATATTTTGCTTCGTCTCTGATATTTTAAGAAGGAACTCAGACTGTGGGTGTTTGAGAGCAGGGTGCTGAGGAGAACATTTGGACTGAAGAGAAATAAAGTGATGGGAGATTGGAGAAAACTACACAATGAAATTAGAATTATCAAGTCAAGAATGATGCCCTGGGAAGGGCGTGTAGCACGAATGGGGGAGAAGAGGAATGCATATAGGATATAGATGGGATAGCCAGAAGGAAAGAGACCACTAGGAAGACCAATAGATAAGCGGGTGGACAATATTAAAATTGATCTTAGATAAGATAGGGTGGTATAAACTGGTTTGATATGGACCAGTGGAAGGTTCTTGTGGACACGGTAATGAACCTTTGGGTTCCATAAAATTTTTAGTTCTTGAGTATCTGCATAAGTGGCGGCTTCTCAGGAAGGGGTCAGCTCCATAAAGTTAGTTAGTTAGTTAGTTAGTTAGTGATAGTGTCCACTGTGAGGTCTGCGTCTTCTCTTGACAAGCGACAGAGATTGAAAGATTCGACCGACGCTGTGCAACAAACATCAAACAACATCTCCGTAATCTCCACTAGCCAGCGCCCCTTGAACAGCAGAATACAGGGATCAATAAAATCAGTAGAGTCAACAAAATCAGCTCAAGACATATACAGTTACAAGGCAGAGTGATAGAAGAGCCTTGGGTAGGCAGATATATACTCCACTAACCGTAAGCAAAGGACATTGTACCCAAAATACATCCTCAATAATAATAAGGGTCCCATATAGTTCAGTTCTTCATTTTAGAACCCTATCATGGGGCTACTTTCCACTATATCTGTAGCATGATCCGGTTAAAAATTAATGAAATGCCATGATTCAAGATCTTCATTTAAACGCTGGTAGTAACTCAGCTAGTCGACAAATTATGTTTGCATGGAACCTCAAGATTCATTGCCGCCACAAATCCTCTTCGGTGAATGCTGTCCTGAATCAGTCGGATCCAATCCACACCTGTGAAATATTTCTGTAAAAATCGTAACAACTTCAATATTTTCCTGTTGCTCGTAGATTCCACAAGTATTCTTCGGTATAGTTTTTCGGTTCAGAGGTTTGCATGTGTTTGTCATTTTTCCAGTACCAGCTACACACCCCGCCGATCTCATATTTCTTGATTTAATCATGCTAATGATGTTAAGTAAAATTAAAAATCTTAAGCTCATTGTTATGTAATTATCTCAGTTCATGTTTTAGTCATCTCTGCTAGGTACATGTAGTTTCCTCTGAACTTAGTTCTCAAAATAATTTTGTTACTGACTTAAATACTCTTCTTCCTTCGATTAGAGATTAACTCTGAAACAGTATTTTCCTTGTGAATTCTGGAGTACTGCCTAGGCATGGGGTCGGCTGACCGCAAAACGCGGGCATACGCGGAGCGCCGTAATACCGAGATCCGCGGGTACAACTCTGTGTTTCGCAAAGAACAAGAAACCACAATCCTGTCCTCCAAGGCCGTATATTAGCCGTTTATTATCTCTTCGTACGCCCTCGTATCCAAACTCCGAAACACTCAAAGGATTTACATGGGGAGTTTGGTTTAGGGGTTTGTGGGCAAACTTAGTTTTCTCTCTATCGGTCCGACGTAACCAAACCCTACTTTACATGAACCTGAAACAAAGCTGCACCCCTATTATGAAAAGTCCCTCCAGTTACAAAAGACAGGTGCACAGCATACTCGCTAACATCATGGAGCAGACTGTTGCTTCAGCTGCATACGGAATTTCCGGCGTTAATGGAAGTCGCGGATTCAAATCTCGGCTTCGAGACCGCCTATTATGACAGAGTTTTAGTGAATATATTCCGTCTCTATTAAAATTTCAGGATAGTACTTAACATTCTGGTCCAGCACTTTCTACATACTCTCTAGTTTGTCATCAGTCATCCTGTCATTAGATGATGACATAATTTGAGCTACTTTATACCTCATTAAATAAGTAATAAACAGATAAATACATTTCGGTATATGTTTGCCTCACGAAGACTATACATTTCTATCCACCAATGTGAAAACCTCAACTCCTTTATAACTAGGCTATGATTACTTCGTTTTTTTGTCGATTTGAATGTAACATCCGGTCTCCAAAACAATTCGAAAGTACATAAATAGTATGGTTACAAATCTTCGTAAAATGATACAAAACTATAAAGCCAGAAGTACTCTGAAAAACCCCGTTTTGGTAAATGTTTTCTATGGAGTCAGTGCTTCTACTCGTGTTTCAACACAAGGGTAAGTTCTGTAACGGGGGTGTGTGTGGCTATGAGAAGCGGGGGATATCCGTTCACAAGGGAGGGAAACTGGTAAGTGAATCATGAAAACATTTTGGGAACTTGGGAATCGCTTTTTGAATGTTGTTGAGGGAGGAAGTTGCAGAGGGGTGAGGGACAGATGAAACCCCCTTGGGAGAATGGCGGAATGTCTGCTTTTAGGAATGAGGTAGCAGCTTCGGGGTAAGAGGGTGAGATAATAAGGGTGGTCTTATCAGCATGGGCCAGACAATATGCCGGGAATAAAGCGGTTATATTCCTCTGCAAGGCTCAAACCCGGTCCAGTGGACCAGACAATATGCCGGGAATAAAGCGGTTATATTCCTCTGCAAGGCTCAAACCCGGTCCAGTCCAAAGAGATGTTTCCGTCTCGTAAAATGTTTCAACTGAGCGTTGAGCCTTCGGGGTTTGTTAGTAGAAAGTTAGTAATAACTAACTAAATAACTTACACGGAGCTCGGCCCTTCTACAGAAGCCGCCAGTTGTGCAGCTACTAAGAACTTCCCAACATTTTATGGAACCAAAAAATTCATTATCGTGTTCACAGGAGCCCTCCACTGGTCCATATCTATATACGATCCATTTTAATATTGTCTACCCACCTATGTTATCTTCTTCTTAGTGGCTCTTTTCTTCTGGTTTTCCCAGTAATATCCTATATGCATTCTGTTCTCCCCATTCGTGCTACATGTGTTGCTCATCTCATCCTCCTTCACTTAATCATTCTTCTCAACGCCCTGTTCTCAAACACCCTCAGTCTATGTTCCTCTCTTAATGTCAGAGACCAACTTTCACAGCCATACATAATTACAGGCAAAATTATAATTTTGTATACTTTAATTTTTACTCTTTTAGACAGCAGACGAGAAGACAAAATTCTGGACTAAATTGTAGCAAGCATTATCCGAATTCAGTCTCTTAATTTTCTCCTGAAACAAATTTTGAAATGCTACTGGCGTTCCCAACCACTAAAACAGCCCCACGTTTTCAAAGGATCTGTAGCTGATCTGTTACGTCGAAATCCACCCAATAATTTCATCTACATATGGACTTAGCCTTGAGAGAAGGATATTACAATTTGAAAATATTTCATGAAGCAACTAATTCTATCCAGCAGCCTCTCTGATTATGAAAAAATTCTTATAAATCTCAAAGGTTCGTTGTCATGTCCAAATGAGCCCGTCGCGGCCTCCGTAGTGTAGGGGTAACGTTCCCACTTCATGACTCAAAGTACGCGGGTTCAAAAACCTGGCGGAGGTCCTGGAATTTTTAAGGGCGAAAAATTCAGGGAACAAGTCCTCCGGGAGGGACTTTAAGCCGCGTGTCCCGTGTCGTAGATTTACGGCACGTAAAAGAACCTCATGTCTCTAAGAGACCGCTGAGCTAAATTAGGTCCAACATTTCCCGCCCAAAGTAGTTTCCAATGCCTCCGGTAGATGGGGAAGTATTAGGTACCACTGCCAGAGGAGGGACGACCTCTCTGACAGAAAGGGACTAAAGTATTAGATACCACTGCCAAGTAGAGGGTAGAAACCTTGCTGGCAGAAAGGGACTAGGAACCCCTGCCAGAGGAGGGACGACCTCGCTGACAGAAAGGACTAACTATTAGATACCACTGCCAAGTAGAGGGTACAGACCTTGCTGGCAGAAAGGGGCTAACAGCGAGCACCAGTACCGGTAGGGGATGGAGACTATAGAAATTAAAAGGGGGACGTACAATAGACTATCAGTCGCGGTGCATGGGGAAACCCACCCCCTCAATACTGAATCACTGAAATGAGCCCGTCACTGTAACCTCTCGTCAACCAGATGATTCAAGTTCACACCTACGTCCTTGCTTATTAAGATTAGTATTAGTATTAGTTGAGAAGGCCGTGGAAATTCAGCGGGGAATAATTTCTTTCGCAATTTCACCATTCTGTCCGTTTCTTCCTTTCTCTAAGTAATTACATCTCGTTTCTTTCTTTCTCCATTCAAACAATTAGGTTAAATCTTTATCCCTCACATGGCATATCGAACATCTGATGTCTGTATAAGCGTATAAAAAT